ACCGGACGCAGCGGGCAGCGGGCGGGCAGGCATGCCACCGCTCCCGGCGTCCCTGCTCTGCCTGGTGCTGCTGCCCGCTCTAGGCGCACGAGGTAGGCGCCCTCCCACCGCGAGCCCGCAACTTTCCGCGCCCTGCGGAAACTTTGGCTGCGCCCTACGCGCGCGCCCCGGCTGTCTGGGAGCGGGCGGCCAGGGTGGGAAGAAAGGGGGACCGGGAGCGCTGGCGCGGGGGTGGAAGGAGGGGGAACAACCGGAGCCTGGGGCTGGGGAAGAAGGACTGACTCTCCGCCGCGCTGCCCCCCCACCCCAGTCGGGGTGGACTCGAGCCGCCTGCTTCTGGAACCGGGTTTGAAGTCGGCTTTGAAGCCCGGCGTGGGGCGCGGGGAGTCCCCGGAGGCCCAGTCCTGGGCTCGCGCCCTTCGCTAGCTGCGCGTGGGGCTCGCCGCCGGGGCGGGTGAACTGCCTACCACTTTTCGATTTGAATCGAGTCGGTTTTGGTTTCCTGTTGCTTTGGGGGCCATTTATCTTTTTTCTTCGTCTCTGGCCCGCGCCACGGGCGGATGTTGGGGCACGGAGTGTGGGGTCCGGGGTGAGGCATTCGCCTTTATCGAGCCGCGCGGCCCGGCCGGGTTCGGGGCGTGGTGGGCAGCAGGCGTGAAATGGGCCAGGTCTACCCACCCAGTTAACAGAGTTCGCGCGAAGCCGGGGAAAGGGGCGCTGACCCAGGACCCAAGGGCCCCTGGGCTCCTGGCCACCCTGCCCCCCAGTGTCCCCTCCCCACTCCAGGTCGCTACTCCTATCCTGGTTCACAGTTTGGGGGTGTGTGAAAGACTCAGCTGCTGCTGGGGGGACTTTCACATTTTGGAGTTCAAGTTTGGAAATCTTGCCGGAGTGGGGAGGGGGCGCTCATTCCTCTCTCCACTTCACTTGGAGGGGATCTCTGAGGAATCTTGTGGTGATTAATTGAGTTCCCTTAAAAATTGGAGGAAAGACTTAGCTCCCCACTTCCAGAAGTTAGGCTTCCACGTCTCTCCCTGTCCCAGCTTCCGTGAGGGGCTTAATTTAGACAGCCCTGGTAAGATGGAGAGGCAGGGGCTTGATTAATTAATCTCTTCTCGGGAATGGCGTCAGATTCCTTCCAAATGGGGCATCTTCATCTTCCCTGGGTGTGTAGGGGGTGCAGCCCTGAAGATACCCAAGGGAGCCGGTATTGGGTGTCCTTGGAGGCGGGGCCAGGTCCCCAGGGTACAGTCCTGGTGCCCCAGGAGGCGGCCCTGGCACGACAATGGGCTGCTCTGATTCCTCGGCCGGCGGGCGCTTTGTTGGCGGGCGGGGCGGCTGGCCTTGCAGCTGTCGCATTTTCCCACGATCGGGGTAGCCCAGTGTGGCCACCCCCCAGCGCCGCCCCCTCGCAGAACGTGTTTGAACAGCAAGACAATCCTGGTGGCTGGATAGGGGCCCCAGCCCAGCCAGGCTCCCCAGTGAAGGTGGTGTGGGAGTGTAAAGTTTGGGATAGTGCCCAGGGCCCTCTCAGCTTTTCTCCACTGCTCTCCAGGTGGCATTTCAGGCCACTCTGCCCCACTTTGAGCATGACCTGTACACCTGCCACCTAGCCAACCTGTTCCCCCTGCCCCCCATTTCAACATTCTGGGCAGAATATTGAAGTCCCTTGGGATCATTCAAGGGCTTGCTGGGGCCTCCTGCCCCCAGCAACCCCATTCATTATACCAGCAGATGAGGTTAGGGGTGGGTGATGCTCCTTGGGGTGGGTCCTTCCCAGGGCCCACAGCTCTGGTGCCTGGGAGGCTGACCTCTCCTCTTGCCCCTCCCCAGGCCTGCGATGTTCCCAGCCCGGCGAGACCTGCTTGAATGGCGGGAAGTGTGAAGTGTTCCTCAACGGCACGGAGGCCTGTGTGTGAGTACGACTGTGCGCCCCTGCGGGACCTGTTGCTTTGTGGGAGCAGAGCCCCTGCCTCTGCAGCAGGGCGGGCAGGGACAGAACACTAGGCCATTGTCTTCTGGAGATGGCCCAGAAGGCTGGGCATAGTCACGTGCTACTTTTATTGGACAAAGTCTGGCAATTACTTAATCACCCGCAATTATGCTGCGTGTGGAGCTGGTCTGGCCTCTGGAGGTTTGAGCACTCTTTTGTGGGCTACCTCAGGCTCCTGGGGTGCTAAGTGGGAATTCCTAGTACCCGATTTCTTCCTAAAGTCCCTGAGACACAATTGACCTGCCAGGGAGGGTATCGACCATTTACAGAGAAGCCCAGTCCCCACCACCCTGCCAACCCAGGAGCACCTCTTCTGGGCAGGTGAGCATCTCCTCCAGGGAGGTGAGCACCTCCTCCAGGCAGGCTAGCACCTCCTCTAGGCAGGCCATGGCTCTCAGCAAGAAACAGATTACTTCAAAGCCAAACCCACCCTTCTTGGCCCAGCTTGCTCTTCTGGTGTCAGGTGAGGCTGGGGGATAAAAGTTGGAACCAGTCATATTGGCTGTGCCCATTTCTTCAGGTTTGGGGGTGGGTGAATGGGAAGAGCTGCTGGAAGTTTGGTTTCTGTCCTGGCATCTGCAGCTCTGATCTGTCCCCTAACTGCCTGGCCCTTCACCCTCCCAAGCCTTGGGTTCTCAGCTGTGAAATGGGCATGTGTTGGGGAGGGGGGTGCACGCCTGCAATCTGCCCGCCTAGGAGTCCCAGTCAGTCTCGGGAAGTTTTTCTTCTGTGGCAGATGCCCTTCAACTTGAAATCATCCCTAATGGGAATAATGAGGAGGTGCTTGCTGGGTGGAGGGAGGCCCCCTCCTCCCCCTGGAGGCTTCCGAGGAAGAAGCCGCTCCCCAGCCCCGCCATCCGGCGCACCCTCATTCCAAGTGCTGAGGGCCCATTCCCTTGACAACCCTCAGCCAGTGGGCAAGCAGCCCCCTCCTCCCAGCTCCCACCCTGCCCACACTGAAGCCAATTAAGCAGGCCTGTGAGCAGTTTAATGGACAAAGCGGATTGTGTCTTTGTCAGATGCTAATGAATGCACACTACTTTTTTTTTTCTTTTTTGGGGGCCTTTTTCTCCTGCAGAAGCCTCACCGACGCTTGATGCCCTAAATCTTGTTTCCTTTCATTCAGAGACCGACAGCTGGGACTCAGTGGAAGTGCAATGGCTATTGTTGGGGGAGGCGGATTAATGCTGTGTGATTAATTATGCGTGGCTTCCCAGAATGCACAGCTCCTCCCGCCAGCCCGCTCCTGTGTTGGTGGGGGTGGTATAGTGAGAGTTTCCATGCGTCTGGGGAAGGTTTGGGGAAGACAGGAGGGGTGCTGTGCTGGGGAAGGTGGGGGCAGTGTCTTCTCAGTGCCACCAGGCAGAAGGGACAGCCTGGCCCAGAGGAAGCTGAGGTCACCCTGGGCCGAAGTTTGTGCTGCATGCTGCCTGGGCCAAAAAGGGGGTGCCTTGGGATACAGGCTGCTGCATCCCCTCATTGACATCAGGATGAGACATCGGGGACAAAGCGATAGTGCAGTGTGCCCTCCCATCCCCAAGCCTGGGCTCCTTGGGAACCCTGCCAACCCAAGCCAGGCCACTGATCAGGGTGCCGGCCTTGTCTCTGCCCTGGGGCCTGCTCCCCCCCCCCCTTTGGCGGGAAGCCTGCCTCAGTCTGGCCTGGCAATCAGCCGAGCTCAGCCCACAGAGACCCTATTGTGCACACCCCACAGATCCACTTGGAAGATGAACGGAAGCGCCGTCCTCAGAGGCCCCACCTCTGGGCAGCACAGTATTGGAGGTGAGGGACCAGAGCAGGGTCGGGCTCCCAGCCAGGTCCAGGTGTGGAGAGGCACAGGTCCAGACTCACTGTGCAGTTTGGGGGTGTTGCGGCCACTCGGGAGCAGGGCCCGGACTCCTTCCACTTCTGGGACCTGTGCCTTCCCACTTGCCCCCATGCCCCACTGTTTCCCAGAGACCCCAGGAGGTCTGCTAGTGTGGGAGAGGCCCATCTTGTGTGGCTGAAGGGGAAATTGCCCACTTTCCTTGAAGCTGCCAGGGTGCAGGCTTCCAGAGCCTGCCGACCTAGGACCCTCTGAAAATTCTTTGTGCCGGTTTGCTGGCTCCCTTATGGACAGTGCGTGGGAATCAGTGATGTGTCAGTGCCAGACATGTCAGTACCTGGTGAATCATCTGTTTCCACCCCAAAGAGGAGGAACCTTCCCCAGAAGCCACTGTCAGGTGCCTGCAGGGCTCAGGATCGGAAAAAGAGGTGCAAATGTCTTCCCAGGAAGTCCTAGCGGCCCCTGGGCCAGTCGCCAGGAGGAAAAGCTTTGCACGTCCCTGTGTATCCCTATGTGTCCCTGTGTGTGGAGCTGTCTCTGCACAGCTGCTGTGTGCTGTGGCCACAGGGGCTGTGGTGGAAGGCCGGTGGCCTGTTGGCAGGCCAAGAGAAGGTCATGGCAGCTATCTACCCTTCTCCAGCCTCTTAGCCGACCCCCTGAGGGGGGATACTGAAGTGGGCTCCTCTCTTTTGTTTGGGGCAGGAAGAAGATCTGTAGGAACTGTTGTCCTTTGGGTGGGCATGCTTTCTTGGTCTAAAAGGCTTATGGGGGCTGCCCAGTTCCAGTCTGGGAGCTGAGGCCCCAGGATGATGAAGATACTCCCCCTGCCTGTGAGAAAGTCAGAATTTTGCTGGGTGGCTTCCAGGTGATCACAGAGGTGGGGTGAGCTGCCATGCCCAGAGTCCTGGGAGGAGAGTCCCGCTGGCTGACAGGTGGCGGGCTTTAGCTTTGGACCCTTCTGTATTTGATGCCTGGCCCCACTGCCCCAGTTCTGTGACCTTGGGTCACTGGGCCACCTGAACTCAGATGGCCCGTCTGTAACATGGGTCTCATACATGATCTCTCAGTGGTGTGTAAGGGTTGTGTAAGGGCTGCACGCAGCAGACACGGGGTGGGTCTGTTTTCTCCTGCCTTCTCCTTTTGAGCTGACAGAGCTGGTTTCAGGATCCTCATTCTCAAGTGTTTAGTTGGCTAATGAGTTAATTCAGAGAACCCAAGAGGTGCTGCCTGGTAGGTCCAGCCAGGGAGCAGCCTGGGAAGGGTTTTTGTCACCCATGATGGCTTTACTCAGAAGCCCTCTGTGCTTCCTTCTGCAGACACTTTGGGGCACCTGCTGTGTGCTGGGTTCTGCTCTAGGCATTGGCACGGCGGGCTCAGGTCAGGCAGCTTCTGCCTGCATGGAGTTGACTTTCTCATGTAGGGACAGGAGAGGCAAGAGCATGGGCGTGACTGTCCGGTGGAGGTGAGCGCCGAGGGTGGGGCAGCTCCCAGCCACCCCCCAGCACCCGTGGATCAGGCAGGGGAAAGTGGGCGGGGCAAGGAGAAGCCTGTGCTTGGCCCCTGGTCACACGGTGCAGACAGGTGTCTGGCCCTGCCTCTCTTTTCTGTGTTCCTAACCACTGCCTCATCCTGCCCCGCTGCCCTGGTCCTCCCTGGCCACTCCTCGAGGAAGCAGGGCTGAGACCACGACTTCCCTTTAGAAGAGGAGGTTCGGAGGTTCAGGCAGGAAGTGGCTTGGGTGGGAAGGGACTGGGCCAACCACCTGGCTTCGAGGGATAAACGTTATGCATCTCTGTCACCTGGTCTGGCTGTTTCCATTGAGTCACTTGCAAGTCTTGGGCGAGGCCCGGGGGAGGCACAGGTTAATGCTCACGCTCACCCTTAGCCTGCGAGCAGAAAGGCTGCTGCTATAGGACTTCCTCTGTTTACAAGTGCCTGCGCTTCAAGGACGGACACAGGGTTAGAAAAACACCTTAGCGCACAGCGTCAACTAGAAAGTCTCACTGACTTCCACTGTGGGGAGACATCAAAGAACACGCCTTCATTAAAGAAAGGTACCTTCCTGGGCCAGGCCCCGCCTCTGAACAGCGGCCAACATTTTTTCCATTGAAAAGATCATTATAATATTTTTTAGAAAGAGAAAGAGAACTGCTCTTAGCAGGAAGGGGATGGGGGCAGGGCAAACAGTTGACCAAGGGGCAGCTCAACAGGGTGGAGAAGCTGGGTGCTGGAGCCCCAGAAGCTAGGGTGGCAGAGGAGGGGGTCCCAGGGAGTGACTGCTCCGCTCCCCAAGTGCCAGGTCACAGCCCAAAGGCCCTCATTTGCTGTACCTTTGATGGGCAGCAGTGGCCATCACCAGCAGATGGGGCCACTGGGCAGTGCCAGGCTGGGCCTAGGGGTTTCGCCCTCCTGGGGTGGGAAGGACACCTTTCCTGTTTCAAGTCTTGTCTATAAATAGTGAAAGGATGTGGCTTTGCAAAGTTGATTGAGTGTCTGAATTGCTTTCCTTAATAATGGGACCATAACAACTCCACGCACAGACATTGGCTTTTATCTGGCATCGTAAAACCCCTGGCAGACATGGTGTTCAACTGGCTCCCACCCCTTCAGGTGGTGGCTGTCTCTGCCTTTTTTTATGCCCAGTTTACAGGTGGGAAAAACTGAGGCTAAGCATGGGTGGGGACCCAAGGCCAGCTTGTGGCAGCCTTGGCCTGCCTGTGCAGGTATATTCAGAACTTTCCAGCACTTTCCCAGAGGCTTTAACAAGCGACTGGCTTCGGGGCATCCTGTGGGTCAGGATGTGCTTGGTCCTGATGGATCCTGGCAGGACTGGGGCTTGGCTGTCTCTGGGGGGCCATGTAGGCCCCAGCCCATTCCCCAACATGGAGGGTCTAGAATATTCAAAGCCAGCCTGGCTCTGCTTAGCTGTGCTCCACCTCAGACATGTGTCTCTTCCCTGGGCCTCAGTTTCCCCCTCTGAATGTGAGGTGCTTGGGTTAGGTAGTCCCCGAAGCTCCCATCCAGCTGCATCCCGGCAGGACCATGGAATGGGCCTGAAGATGCCTGGGTGGTGGCAATGGGCAACAGAGTCATGGGA